TGGGGATTCCAGTCGAAATCTTGGTTGTCGAAATGGACTGGTGCCACACTGGTCCGGTTTTTAGTCGATCGATGTTCTCCCATCCAAGAATCTCCCTAGTAGAGTGTAAAAACCTGAACAACAGAGGGGGTGGCGTATTCGATGAGAGACGATTCTGAGGTGTCCACTTGTTTTTTGTCTAAAATATAGCTGATTATAGGTAATCGACGACGCTGATTTCTGATATGACTAGTGGACACTTCAGAATCGTCTCTCATCGAATTAGAGTAAAAACCACATACCTTTACATATGCCAACATATGGTCCAGCACATGTGGTACATGTTCCTGCACATGTCCATCAGATAGGGTATGGTCGATAACCTACAGGTACACTAAACACACAGCTATAACATATATCTTTAAGGCAAAAACTGCACTTTAATATTGTTTTGTGTTTTCATCAGATTTTACATGACTCTGCCTGATGAGAACTAGAGTTTTCCAGAAAACCCATAGAAGAACACGTCAGAAAATTCTGGGCCAGAATATTTCGATTTTCTTTTTCGATGTTGTATCTCTGGTATAAATTTCACTCCGATCCGACATCGGCTTCCCCGATTTTCAAGAGGGTCAGAAAAGAGGGGGGTACCCTTAAACGGCAAAAACTATAATTCATATGACGGTTTATAATAAACTGTTGTAAATAATTGACCATTGATATTTTCCATATACAAATCAAGAAAATCGTCGAGATAATCGAGTATTATTTTAATTGAAAGTACACCTTCTGTTTGTGGTATCATTGTATATAAGTCTACGACATCTATTGCACATAATATAGTTGCTTGCCGTATATTATATTTTGACCATCCGTGCATTTGTTTAATTACTTGAGAACCAGAAGTAATGCTTGTGCTGTATGATATTCGATCGAATAATGGTCGAAGTAATTCACCGAGATATTTTGAAATTTTAATTGTAGAATGCTTTAAACCGACAATAATCGGTCGTAGAGCTGTATTAGGTTTATGTACTTTTGGTAAATAGTATAAATAGCTAGTTGTACTTCATTCAAAGTAACACATAAATTTTCATATTGCTTTTGATTTATCTAATGAACTAATCTTAAATTTAATAAATAATGATTTGTACGTTCAATTAAATCTGCTAATGGATTATTTGTATCTAAACATTTATACTGTATTCATTTTGTTTCTCTTCCTAATTATTTTATTTAAAATTAGTTACGTTTCGTTGTAGTTTTATAACTTCTTCAGACATAAATATTTTTAACACTGATTGCTAACACACTTTCTAATTGCACTATAGAACAAACCAAAACCGTTGACCATTTTGAACTTTTCCGACTTTTTGCTCTATTTGGACCATTTTGATTTATTCTTTCTTATTTGTTTCTCTTATAGATATGGTAGTGATACGGAAACAAAAAAAAAAAATAAATAAAAAATAAATAAATAAAATAATTAGGAAGAGAAACAAAAGGAATACAGTATTATCAACCTTCCTGAACAGAAATGAACTAAACATTTATATGCTTCAGTTTTATCCATATATTCTTTTGATTTCTTTTGATAATCTTGTAGTCTACCTAAACGAAAAACTTTTGATTTATCTGTTTTTTGAAGAATTATACTAGTCGAACGAAGTTTATGCTTTAAACGTTTGCCTAATCTAACAGAATTCTTCTTTCTTCCAGAAGAAATTGTATGATTAATAACTTGTGATTGACTTAACTGAATAGTTGTTAATAAATTATCATATGAAATTTTTTGATGTTGTATTTGTTGCTGATGCTGAATAGTAATAGGTGTATCATGTAAATTTTGAAGAATAAGATTTAATTCAGCAAAAAATTTCTCGACTGAACGACCGGGACTAACTTTTTTCTCAAAACTTGTTTCAAAAACACACTCCAAATATCTTTTAGCGAAATCCATTTATAACGAACAGTAAATATTAAATAGATCTTATTACTAGTATTTTTAGAGGGAAGTCAAAACCAATCGAACGTAACTCTAGTACTTCATACCTGCGTGTGTGTATATAGCATGCAGTTCCACTGCATAAAGCTTTGCGAAGATTCATAAGAATTAATTTCGCTTCGATAGAACTAAGTTTCGATGAAATCGTAAGGTATTATGCTGAAATGCGCTGTGGTTTGTAGAACGACGCGTTAAACTCTATAGAGAGCGGTTTTTACCGACGCTTTCCGTACAACGTGGCATTCAGCAAAGGAAGAGTAAAAGAACTGTGAAAGACATTTTTTCCGAAGCTTTTGCTTTACAATAGCATACACGGCAAAAAAGGGCTTCCAAGGAAAACGACTTAAAAATAACAACACCTTTAATAAGTAGAAATAAGAGATAACCATAACGGAGTACAACTATCAAAACGCATTCAATTCGTAGAATCATGAATGATTATCGTCCGAATTAAAGTAAATTGGTTAGATCTAACAAGGCGTGAGTCATGATTCACTAAAAAAATTTTCATGAAACCCTGAATATAGAAATATGAGAAAACTAATTTTATAAATTTGACAATGAGCTTGTCAAATGAAAGACATTCATAGATTCATTTAAGGATACCCTCCCTCTCTTTGATCAAAAAAATCGATTTTTGGTTTTCGACTGATTTGAATAATTTAAGGTGCCCTTTTTTGAGTTAAAATAGTATTACAGTCTGAAACAGGCCAGAAAGGGTTTCTAGACGGCTTACAGAAACCGTCCTTGAGGATTTCTCTAGTCTTCCCTTGTTTTTGGTGAAATTTATACGTTTTATGCTTATAAAAATTACATTTTCTGTAGGTTATCGACCTTGCTTTATCCGGTGGATATATGCAGAGGCATGTATCGCATACGCAATAGCGTATGGGACCATATGCGAATAAGTTTTCAATGTTTTTCTCTTTTATATAATAGTATTATTGTAAAAAGAGTTTTCTTATGAGTTAGTCAATACCTCAGTACACTTTCCGATTGCTAGTTTCGAACCATGGTTGGTAAATTCATAATCCGTAAGCGAAAATATATTTCTAATATTATCTATTTTTTCTTGTTGAATATCTATATTTTTATTTTCTTATATTGCACTCGTTTTCTGTTTTATACCACAAGTTTTAATTTTTTTATGACTGAAACGCTTATCATTTTCAGATAAATACGGAACGAGGCACGTATAATAACTTTTTGTATCATCAATAAAAGAGAAGAGTAAAAAGTAGAAACATTTACTCATGCTCATATCTTATGGCAGTTCGACAACTTAGTACTCTTCAATATTTTGAAGGTGCTTAAACGAGAAAAATGCTCTTAGAGATGCGAATAGTAGCTTGAAATTTTGTATCTTTTGGTATGTGAAGGAACTTTTTATTTGAAGAAGAAGTACGAAACAAATGCAGTAATATTTAGTCCAGTTTATTATGGCACACTCATTATTACTTTTCTTTTTTTTGGAAAAGAAAAGGTACCGCTTTCCTTAACTCTCTCCGCAAATTCTCTTCTCACTCTCCCGTGAATTTTCTGGCTGACGATTTTTTGCATTTACTTACTTTACCATTACTCATTGTCAATATGTTACTTTTCTGTTGACCTTTTTCTCTCCCTTTTACAAATATTTGTTTCAAGACTTGGTTTTTTTCCTTAGCTACGTGCTGAAATTTTCGTTTTTCATCAAGTATTTTCTTCTTCTCGACTACTCCGATAAAGTATTAAAACAGAAGTAATATTATATTTTTATTTACACATAGTTTGCAATCGATATAAGTTGTAAATTTATTCTTTTTTTTCTATATGCATAGTCCATAAAACTTTCCTGCTATAATTCTTTATAGTTCCTTTCGAGTAAGAAAACGTGATATCTAATACAGTAAAATAATTTACTGTTTCATCATGTAACAGCACAAAAATAAACGGTTCTGAGGCAAATTTTCTTTGCAAATCTCAGATCAATCAGTTTTTTTAAACCACATTGAAAAAGTACATCTTCTAAAATAGAGTAGAAATACTTGAATTTGTTTAGATTTTACTAGTCATATTTTCGTCAAACTGAAATTTATTTATACAGAACATCCGAACAAAAGAACGCTAGTCTGTTACGATATAGAAATGCTAGAGTTATGATTAGTAGAGTTAGTTGAGGGAAATCGGATCAATTTTGGAAAATTCCGTATTATTTTCGCAATGACTCGGTCAGGTTTTAGCCTAGAAAAAGATATAATATAATAAATCTATTCTCAAGATCTATCTTCCAAATTAAGGTGTGACGGAGAGAACATCATCTGTGTCTCACACATCATACCATCTAATTCGAGCGAGCGCAAAACGTGCTTGGACGATAGGAGAAAGATTGCCATAGGAAGAAAAAGCATGAGAAGACTACAGTGGACATAACTGAGTTGAGATAATGGACTATAGATCACATGTGTTTGATCTCTAGAGAGGACATCTAGACCCAACTTTGCATGAAGAATCCGAAAACAATGCATTCGGGCACGAAAAATGCAGTGCTGATGACGAGGAAGTCAGGCTTCTGGAAGTACCAGTAAGTGTCGATTTCTACACCCTCTTGATATTTTAGATATTTCGCCCGAAAACCTCGGCTGAAACGGGAAAATAAAGTCAGATTCGGATTCAGCGTCTTAAACTGTATATGGAGACATCCAACGCAGCAAAAAAAAACGGACTGTTGTAACTTTGAATTACGCGCACCTTACATCAGTCATCACTGCAATAAACGACAGATAAAAGCATGCGCTCCTTATATTATTATTTAGTTTTTTTGTTTTCTTTTAGATTCACACCAAATACATTCACTTTCTTAGCCCACAAAAATCAGGTAATTTATCGCGCAAATAATCGCTTTGCTCCTTGGCAGTTCCTTCAGGCTAAACTTTAGAGCTTTCTCTTTTTTAATTCGAAATTGACTATTTTCACAAAATCTAGGTATGTTTTTAAATTAAGAATAGTATTTGTTTTATGTAGGTTTTTCGGGTAGGATTTGACCCTGCTTTAGTCGGAGAATTAAACCTAATTTGGTTGGACTCGTCGATTTGTTCAACTTTTATTTGTTTAGTTTGGTACAACTGACGACAAGACTTCTTCTAAAGCCGCAATGAACACTATTACCGGACTTATAAAGGATGCATCAGAACTAGCAGTTGCTGCCGGTGATGCTGTCAAGAAACTTTGGGGTACACCATTCAAACTTCGAGTTATCAATACCTCTAATCTAGACGTGGATGTTCAGTATTACGATCTACAATGGGAATCTAGTACGACGAAATTGCTTGAAAACCAGAGCAAAGTTATGGATACAGGTGTGGATCCAATAGGTCGACGCTGTTACCACTGCAGAGTCTGGCAGAATGACAAACTTATTGGTACATTTTGCGTTTTTGGAGATGAAATTGAGAAGAACCATAATGAGTTCGAGCTTCGTAACGTGAATGGCAAAATTCAGCCTTTTTTCAAAGGTAACATTATTCGTTGGGCAGATGGTGGTCACTGAACCACAGACAACCAATTTCTAGGCACAATCCCAACACGTATTCGATTAACAAACGAGTTTTTTGTATTTCGAATGAAATTTTGTCCCAAAATATTTTTCATTAAAATACTCATTCGGATTTCGTAGTTTGATTCCCTTGACTGTAGGCAGGGTCTTATGAAAGAAAATAGTTCGTATGTATGTTTGTGTCAGATCAAAAGAACATGTCTGTTTGTTTGTTTGTGTCAGATCAACAGAACATGAGTGAGCACACATTTCCTATAGCGTAGGATGTTTTCAAATTATATTAAAATCCTACATACATACTGATGTCGAACGTCCCATCTCTTTGCTCTCCCATTGGTCCAGCCTTGGCCAATCAGAAATCGAGGCCGATTTTCTCTATAGGCAAGCAGAGTTTTGGGGTCGAGACCGAAGCTGCTTATTCCCTCGACAGTAACGAGAGTCTAGGGGAAAAAAAGTTTGTCTGTCTGTTTGTCTGTTTGTTTGTCGGGGTCAAAGGAACATTAGGTCAAGAAAACCTTTTAGCCCGTCCGCTATGTGACTATGACTCATTGGTTGTTGTCCATTTACAAAGAGCACAGTGAAAAGGTGATAATAGACAGTTATTGGCAACTATATGCTATCAAATCTGATCCGAGTGTGTATCCTCCAAATACTGAAACTTTGGCGTTTATTGTTGTGCCCATTTCAGTAGGAAAACGTTTATCATAGAGTGAAAAGTAAGATAGAACCTTTTCGAGGAAAAGAACATTTTACCTACTTACGAGTCATTAAAGATAAGCCACGACCTATTACCGTATAATGCTGCTCAATCGACCAGCTCAGATTTCTTCCAAAACAGGAGATTTCTTTAGAGCAAACATTTTCATGAATTTTGGTGAAAACCGGAGGTCTTAAAGTTGTTGTGCTGCTGAGATATTCAATTTTTACGAAAAGCCCGAAAAAAAAGACCTTTCCCCATCTTGAAAAATTGCCAACTTAAACCACGTGTAACTTCATAATGACATATGACTTAGACTAATCAACTTTATCATAAATACTGGATAGTGTCAACTACAAATTCAAGCAACCGTGAGCTCCGCACATGCTTTCGTTCTTTTGCAGTAGATGACGCGCCGACAGCCCCAATCGTCGATCCGGTCAACTTTGGCGAACAACCCTATTGAAACGAAAAGAAACATAAGATCCTCAATCATATTCTCAGATAGACTATATGTTGGACTGTTTCTGAAATCATTTCGACAATCTCAAGTATTCTCGTTTCCGATGTAGATTGCTTCAAAGTTGACACTTTTAACAAAATGCGTCATTTTGACAAACGGTTTCTCGCTGGAAGCCGAGCGAATTTCTCGCTCTCTATGATATTGTTGGAGTACACCAAGTGTACTATCATGAGCCATGGTGGGATTTTTGGGATCTCTTAAAATGGGTTAGGGAGTCCAGTCGGGAGGATCACGTTTCAGAGCCATCGTTAAATCAACATTTTCTTAGTACCATACACTAAAAGAAAGATCAAATCAACTCATATAGGTAATTTTCGACGAGGACTTCAATGGTGATATTATAACAAGTCGATTCTCACGTTAATAAAAAACGGATGATCAAATCCGGATGTGGCAATTAGGGCTCTTGCCATCCACGCTCGTGGCAATAGAGCTACATTATAAAATTTTATACAGTCGAAGCATGAAAAGAACTGAAAATGGGGAAAAACTCTTAAAAATCAGCTCCGGAAATAAGGAGAAGTTTTATTCGGAGAAAAGTCTAAAAATCAGGAGTCTCCTTGTCAAATCCGAAGAATCGGCCACCCTCTGGTAGTTCAACAAAAGCTTGTTACAATGCAACAAGTCCCAGCTCTTCAAGTATATTCATTCTCGAGATATTCGACTTTTAAGATTCGAGGATCTCTAAAACTCTTCGATTCTGACGACTGCATCTATATTTGCATGGCTATTTGCTGTAACGTTTTTTCTCAATTTCTGTGAGTACATGCTCATTTAGCTACATATATGAAAAACCAACACATATATTTAGAGATTGAACTGGCAGAAGAAACCATTGGACTTTATTCACTATCTTGGAAAGCTGTCTTTCTTGCTCATTAAAAACAAAGTTTTGTACATCCTACTTCGACTTTTCATCCGAAACGTTGAATGTCACTTCCTTAAATACTTGTCCGCTAACTGGAAAAAACACTCATTAGCGAAATCACTCAGTTTTTTTAAAAGGAAAGTTGTTCAAAAATCAAATCTTATGTCAGTGTATACTCCAACTTAGTTTTCCTGTGCAATTTATGACAAGACAATCCAGAAACTCTATGTTTTCTTGACGTTTCTCTCTAAAGGACAGACAGAATACTGTTTCTATAAATTCTATGGTCGACGAGTGCAGTTTTAGCAGCGGTATTGCTAAGAATCTTTGTTTCCTTTTCAGATCTGTAATAATGTCTATTGATGTTGAGGAGATTCCGTTATGGAAACGTAGATTTTACGTTGATAAAGATTTTCAATTATTCAGTAATGAGAAACAATCGAAAGCTGAAAAAGCAAAAATTTTGAAAAAAGAACTATTATCCAAATATCAATTATCTTCACATATGCAAGAAAATTTAGATGAATAATCGTATGGAAAATTATGGAAATTATTGCGTGATTTTGATGCACAAGAAGTTCTACATGAAAGAACATCCTTATTAATCAGAGGGCTTCAAAATGCGTATTATAAAACTCGAAAGGCATTGTCTGTATCGGTTATTTCAAGACGATTGTCACCAAGTAAAAGCTATCAATGTTTTTCTCTCTTAAAATATTAATAATTTATCTTTCTGAAGGTTGTGTGGTTATATTTTAAAACGACATGTGATGTCAAACCTGATCTAACGTCAGCAGAAATAATTAGTTATGAACAAAAAGAACATCTTCGATATGGTTATCGGCAACAACAACAACAATTACAATCAAAATCCAATTTAGTTGCTCATAATACAGACAATTACACACAGACAATGCAAGAACAACCCACATCTCTCAGTGCTAAATCACCACACACATCAAATTGTTCATTACTCTTCAATGGGAACATTTCATGATGCTCGAACATACAATTGTCATTATCAGTCATAAGAAGTTATACATGTCGTGACGCTTTTTAATCACGAGAAGAAAAATGACCCACCCAAGCAAACTTTGGTGGATAGGGGGGCGTGTTTTTGTGATATTCGTATTTTCCAAAATTGATTTGTATAGATGAAATGTTATATTTACCGTCCTTGTTTAAGGTCTTGATTCATTTGAAATTGAATTACGTCAAACTCCACAATCAATCATAATTCGCAGTCGTCCATGTTCAGATTATTCACCACAAGATGATCAACTGTATAATAAACATTTGTATTCGACAGTTTCACATGAAACCATTAAACCTTATATAGTTCTCGTTTATAAAGATGTTCAAAAATATATTGATCTCTATTTTCCCGGTATTTATCCCAATATTTCATATAGTATTTTCTCTATATAAGAGTTACACCTGAAGTGCGTCCCAAGGTTTTTGATAGCGGTTTGTCGTAGAGAGTTCATTTTTTTTTGCTTAAAAGAGCAAAAGAAACTACATCGACTGACCGGCGTCGATTTTTGAATTAGGTCTTAGGTTTTTGTCAAATTGAGGATTTTTCAGATTTTGGAGGTTGTTAGTTGCCTGCAAAACCAATAAAGGCTTATTGAAAAATCGGCGCCGGTCAGTCGATGTAGTTAGATGTCTAGTTTAAAATAAAACAAAACCCGAACTCTCCAGCTTGAAGTATATTAAAAAATCTTGGGACGCACTTCAGGGTTCTTTTTGGACCTTGATCACTAGAAAACTCTTAAACCGTAAGACTTGGAGACAAAAAATTTTTATCATCCCCGTAACTCATTGTGCCTAACATTTATGGAAAGTTTCGGATTTCGGAACATTTATGGAAATCGGACGTACGGTGTCGAAGATAATTTCTAAGAGAGGGGGAAGTCCTTAATTTATGCCATTAAATCTGTCGTCGAAGTAATGAGCGGTAGGTGAATAACAATCATAAATTGAAATAGAGCTTAAACATATAATAAGTTGAGTAAGCTCTACTGACGAGAGTAGGCTAAGTGTTAAAGGGATATTTACCAGTTGAATGATTTGTCAATACCAGACCATTTCTGAAAATAGAAATTTGGAATAAACAAACTGAATCTATTTCTAGATGATGTTAATGGACAAACAATTAAACGAACACGTTCAAATCGTTTTCATCGCTTTCCAACAAAAGTTATCTCTTAGACTTCAGTGTTACATGTTCGATTACCAATGTATAATTACTCGATTAAAATGATCAATAATTTATCATCAACGCTAGCTCAAAATGGTATCAAATTAGTTTATGGAAATATAAAAATAGAATATTTTAGTCCCACCTATGTATCACCCTATGAACATATTTAGTTTAGTTCTTATGTTGTCAGTTATGCTTGGGATATGTTATTGTCATTAGGTAAGACTTTTTGTCACTAACCCATTGGAACTTTTGGAAACAATTAGAAATTAATGCGAACTAATTTAAAAAAGTCTCATATTAAATTAGTGCGCATTCATTTTTTTCTGATTAAAAATCAATTCAAATTAGCTTAACTTGATAAATTAATTCAAATCAATTGAATTTTAACCAGTTCGAATTAATTTACCAAGTTAAGTTAATTTGAATTGATTTTTAATCAGAAAAAAATGAATGCGCACTAATTTAATATGAGACTTTTTTAAATTAGTTCGCATTAATTTCTAATTGTTTCCAAAAGTTCCAATGGGAACTCTTTGTTGTCGATATAAACTAATCGGTTTTTTTTGTTTGCTTGGGTTATCGCTTGAAAGATAAAATTAACCGATAAATTTATCACTCGTTTGGATTTATCACAATTTGGATTGTGATAAATCCAACTGGAATTCTGCTTTTGGCCGGCCAAACTTAGAATCTAAACGGCCAAAACTGGAAGTCTAACTCTGGCTGGCTAAATTCAGAATTTGACGTGTAATATGCACACCGACTTTGAATAAAATCGAGCTTTTGATTTTGATGATGATTTTTCCTATAACCCAATGTTAATGGAGCAGGTCTACCGAATTAAGAATCACAAATAAACGCTGCCCCACATATAATGGATTTTTAGGGATTTTTTTCTACTTTTTTTAGGTTTTTGTATTCCTCTACTGGGTTAGTAGTGCATTAGTAAATAACAAGCATGCAAATAGTATTGTATACAATTATAATTCAAGTTCTTCTGGTAGAATTTTTTCTATATGCAAAACATGACCTTTCTCCAATATAGCATCTTCGTTTCTCTATGTACAAATATTTAATTTTCAATACTCTATCTGTTTATTCTATATTTTTGCAACCACCAGTTCGTTTTGAATGACATTTTGTAGAACACTTAACATTAGCTTTTTTGCAAGGACAATGTTTCGTTGCACATTGAGATTTACAATCACACGTCGCACCACTCACTGATCCGCGTATAAATAGTTTACAAGCTTCAATCAATGTTATATTTTCCAATTCAGCAATATCAACAGCTTTCAATTCAGACGGACAGACATGTTTCAATGGAATCAAACTTTCGACTGTAAATGATGAAACCAGTTTCCCAAACTGACAAGCTAGTTGAAAAACAACGTCATCTCCTTTTTTTTCTTTTAAAAATATTAAACATGGTAAAAGTTTCGGATCTGTATTGGTTCTGTCAACATCATGAATATTGATACCAACACAATCGCCTACATTGAGTGTTTCAGCTAAATTTTAAATTAAATGTTTGTCATATAATTTACGTTTTTTATTTGCTGTAGTTAAATAGTTGTCTGTGGCTTGTCTGCGTATTAATGCATGTCGTGGAGATTGAACAGAAGGTGATAAAGTATTTGATGATGATGGAATGTCAAAAATGGATGTCTCTTATCGAAAGCTTGAATAAACCTTACATTGATTTTTGTGTAAAAATCTAGATGATCAATAGCTAGGCGTTCAATAGGTAGTCGAGCAAGCTCTAAAAGTTGGCGGTTTTATTTTTGTCAGATTTTGTATGTCGACTGTGACATAAAAGGAAACCCTTACGTGATCAGGCCGATCGATCATTTTGGTTTTATGCCCCGTATAGAGGTACGCAATCACCTTAAAGAGAGATGAACGTGTTAAGATTATTCGCTTTCGATTCCAATAACTGAAACTTGCTAGTGTGTTTGACACTGGACTATTCAACTTATGTTATTTTAGTCTCCTCGTTAAGGTTTTGATGCTGACAAAATTCGAGCATAGATGGGTGATTTTAGTCATGAATATTCTGTATCAACATATGTACTCGAATGACTCTATGTTTCACCGATTCTCTACGAGCAATTACAACTGCAAAAGAGGATGAATTACAAAAAATTGATGATATTCAGAATAAATGGAGAAAATACCGTTTCACAGATGGTATTGGAAAAATTAGTCTACTCATGTTACCAAGAGTTTATCAAGAATTAGATATTAATGGAGCCACATCTTATTTTTACCACGTGCATTACAAATTCGATTAGCCGGAATGAAATGCGTATTAGTACGAGTACCGAAATTAAGTAAGATAACACTAATAATAAAAATAAACTGAAACCATAAGTCACTTTTCTTCTTCTGTTCTAGACA